GAATTAGTGCATGGAAAGTGTTAAAAAACCACCATTTGAAATACCCTAGGGTGTCTACTTTCCAAAAATATATGGTTTGGTGGGGGTAAAATACATTGGCCGGCCTTACAAATGTCCCAAATAGGACATGTGCGCAGGTTGACTACATGCCAAAATTCCAAGTTGAAAAATGGATATGCTCACCTGCCAAATGTGGCCTTTTAGCCCCCAAACAATCTGACAAGCCTATGCATGGGTGGTATCACTGTACTCAGGAGATGTTGCTGAACACATATTGGCGTGTTGTTTGGCAGTGACACATAACACGATTTGTTAATTCATGCCTAAAGTACAATGTGTGTGAAAAAAAACACACAAAAAATGACTACCTAAATGTTTGACAAAGTCTGGTGGTAGAATTAGTGCATGGAAAGTGTTAAAAAACCACCATTTAAAATACCCTAGGGTGTCTACTTTCCAAAAATATATGGTTTGGTGGGGGTAAAATACATTGGCCGGCCTTACAAATGTCCCATATAGGACATGTGCGCAGGTTGACTACATGTCAAAATTCCAAGTTGAAAAATGGATATGCGCACCTGCCAAATGTGGCCTTTTAGCCCCCAAACAATCCGACAAGCCTATGCATGAGTGGTATCACTGTACTCGGGAGATATTGCTGAACATATATTAGTGTGTTTTTTGGCAGCAAGACATAACAGGATCTGTAAGTTTATACCTGAATTGCAATGTATGTGAAAAAAAAAAAAAAAACAACTACCTATGCAAAGTTTGGCAAAGACTTGTGGTAAAATGGCTGCATAGAAAGTGTCAAAATATCCTTAGATGAATACCCTGGGTTGTCTACTTTAAAAAAAATATATACATGTGGAGTGTTTTCCAGAGATTTATGACAGATAATAGTGTTACAATGTCACTATTGATACATTTTAAAAATGTTTGTTTTGAAACCGCCATATCCTACTTGTACCTATAGCCCTATAACTTGCAAAAAAGCACGTAAACACTGGGTATTTTTAAACTCAGGACAAAATTTTGAATCTATTTAGCAGTTTTTTTTCATTCGCTTTTGTAGATGAGTAAAAGATTTTTCAAGTAAAAGTCAAAAAACATGTATTTTTTTCAATTTTTCATCATTTTTTTTTTATTAAAATACGTGAGATTATATAAATAATGGTATGTAAAGAATACAGAAAATTTTATCATGCTTACTGTAATTTTCTTTTCCTGGCTATTATTCATGGCAGCATCACTTATGGGTAGCTCCGCCCTAATCAGGAACAGGACAGGATAAAATCAATTAATACGGACCAGACTGGGTATAAAAGGTCCCTCCTCCTTCTATCCCACAGTCTAGTTCCAAAGCTAACTCTGATAACAAGGGGGGGTTGCTGATGCTGCCATGAATAATAGCCAGGAAAAGAAAATTACAGTAAGCATGATAAAATTTTCTGTATTCCTGGCTAATCATGGCAGCATCACTTATGGGTAATACCCAAGCTTCACCATAGGGTGGGAATTTCCAAAAACAAAACAAAAAAAATAAAACTCCAAACCAGATAATGCTGAAAAAGTTTAATTTAGATAGATTCCACAGAGGACAGAACACCTCTACCAAAAGCCGTAGAGGAAGATGCCAAATCCAGTTTGTAGTGTTTGATGAAAGTGAGAGGAGAAGACCATGTAGCTGCCTTACAGATGTCGTCAGATGGAACTTCTGCCCAATTAGCCCATGATGTTGCTAAAGCCCTTGTAGAGTGTGACTTGATCCTACTAGGAGGAACAAGGTCTTTCAACTGATAAGCCTTGATTATGGTATTGGAGATCCAACGTCTCAAGGTGGAAGTAGAGGCTGCCTCCCCTCTTCTGGGACCAATCGGAAGAACAAACAGCTGTTGAGACTTCCGAAATTGAGTAGAAACCTCTATATACTTAAGCAGGCACTGCCTGACATCCAATTGGTGAAGTTTCACTTCCTCTGGAGTAGAAGGAGATGGATAAAAGGAAGGAATAACAATTTCCTGTAGGATGTGGAAATTCGAGACAACTTTCGGCAGAAACTCTTGTCTGGGTCTCAAGATCACCCTGTCGTGGAATACCTGAAAGTGATTTTCATC